CCGTGGGTTACCATCCCCCTCCTCCCCGTGTCCGCATGGCTTCGGCTCGAGTCCGCGTCACGCGTGGCTGAGTCTCTTCGACTCAAACTCCGTGAACGCGGCCTCATCTCCCTCCGCGCTGCTCCACTCAACACACTGGACAGCGTGCGGGTGGCCTCCCACGACCATTATGCGATTCATAATTAATTGTAACAACAACTAAAGTTTATTAATTGGAACAGCTAAAGTGTATTCATTGTAACAACTAAAGTTTATTAATTGGAACAACTAAAGTTTATGCTAATTTATGCTGATTGAATTGCGAGAGAGAGAACGACTCAGGGGAAGGCGAGCCACATGATGAGCCGGCGCTACCAACAATTACCTAAGCTCTGCGATCCTCTATATATGAAGGTGCAATCGGCCAATTAATCGGGGTTTCCACGTGGGCGTTAACCGGAGCACCCAGAGGAAACCCACGCGGACTGGAGGGAAACACTCCATCCCGTGCAGACGGAACAGGTGGAGTCCACATTGTTTGCAGTCCCGCCTTTCCCTGGCAGGCCGGGGTATGGCACCTCCTCGAAATCCACGGGAAGGGAGTTTCACTCCATTCGTGCGGTGATCCACCATCCCTCGCTGCCTCCACACTGCTGGAGCATAGCGGCAGTGGTTAGGCCCGATTAAAACTGCCCGCCCGGGTGGCAGAGCCATTCCCTGAGATGGGCAAAAACGAGAGAGAGATGATGCCGATATTGGGGGATATGGATGTGGTGGTGGGCATCTGTGGGTAGAGACGGGGGTGGAGGGGGGGACAATTAGTAGGAGAGTCAGAGAGGAATATGACACAGTTGGGTAGGGATGTGGCGGACGAGAAGAGGGCTAAGAGAAGAACTAGCGGTGGTGGGCTACTGCTGGTAGCGCCGCATCTCAGACTTCACTTCTCCAGCCACCACCACACCCCTCGCCTTCCCCTCCTCCACCATATCACGCCACGCCACGCGGAGCCATCAATCCTCATCGCGTGCCGAGTGATCGGCGCGAACGGTGAAGGATCCTCGCGAGCGAGAGGAGCAAAATGAGACGAATGAACGCTCTTAGCCATGCAGTGCACGGACACAGGAGAGAGAGAGCGAGAGAGTGCGAACGCCATCACTTCCCACGTCCGTATTCATCACGAGGCGCAGCAGCCGCTGTCGTTTCCCAACATCGCCCCCCTAATTGCGCATTAGTCTAAATCAGCAAACACTCCGGGTTCAGTTTCCCGTCCCCTCTCTCTGCTCACAGCCAGGGCAGCGATTTTACTGGGGGGGGGGGAGCAGCGGGAGGGAGGTGAGGGGAGGCAGACTGGGAATTTATTCACGGGCCAAAACTCCAGAGGGGCCACGGATGAAAGCACGTTACATTTGTTATTATTAAGACAAGTGAGGCTGTGTATTCATCTTCTTTAGTCATCAAGCCCAATTGCAGCTTCTTAGAAATACGATCACAAACCCCCTCGTGTGCTCTGTCGGCCTTCATCGGTGTTCGCTAACAGCACTTGCCCCAACAGTCTGTTGCAGCCTTTATGGAGGATCTTTGTCAAAATGGTAGATGAGGAAGGGGGGGGGGTCTTTACTGGGGGGGGGGGAGGTCTTAACTCTGTCTGTTGTCCCGGGGGCAGAGATAACCAAACGACACAGAGGTCTGCCCACAGCCACAAACACGAATCCAGTGGCAACAACCTCCCAGCCGTGGGGCCACGGACTCCCTCTCTCCTCACGAGCACGTGAGAGACACGGCGACTCAAGCAGCCTGGACCACGAGACCCGCCGCCACCAGCACTAGCCACCACGTACATACATTGAACTTCTTTCGCGCCGTACGTAGCCAACAGTGCTAACGATGCTGCTGGACAATGACATCCCCCATTGCATCACCGGCTCCCACATAAAACACATACGAATCGACGATAATCTATTTTAACGTGTACGATTTGACACACGTATGGTGAGCATGGTAATTCGTGTATACACGATATGACCAATGATTCTTGTTGTAGTCAAAGGTATTTGATTGAAGCTGGAAGAAACCGATGAGCCATGAAGCTCCTTCTCACAGTGTCCAACCCAAGTCAGCAACAGCTCCCAACAGCGTCCACATCATGGATATCATGGCCCTCGACAGGGGAATGTAGAATCCCCGCTTTGGCTTGGACGTGGATCAGAGAGACGGTAAAGTTGTCCGCGTGCCACCTTCATAAAGGCTTCCCATTTCTGCGGCTCGACTGGGACACTTGGGAGTGAGCTGCCAGACCCGCACCCAACACAGGTAGCCCCGCCCCTACACAGGTAGCCCCGCCCACGACTCAGGTAGCCCCGCCCATTGTCCGTACCTTGCGTTGAGCATGGAGCTGAACATTTTTTCCTGCTGGGTCAAAAAAAAATCCAGATTTTCACAAATAGGTTCCAAACGTTCATTTTGTTCTACACAGGCGAGACCTGGAGAGACCAGGGACTCGCCTCATTTGCAAGAATGACCCGGGCTCATCAACATTACAAAGGAAAACAAAAACCCAAAACAATTTACAGCGACGAATCAAAGTGAAATCAGGGCAAAAACAAGGAGAGCCTTTTAATGAAACCAGCGGGACTGCCCCAAAGAAAGCAGAAGGACCGTCACGGCCAAACCAGGACGCGTGGTGGCAGCCGTACAGGATTCTGAACATCGCCCGTGGCCTGATTTACATGTGAATGGAGGGATTAGGGAACATGCTGAACACGCGAGGCCCCTGGGGGGGGGGGGGGGGAGACACACAAAGCCTGATGGGCCTGGTTCATTCATTCACGCGGTTCCCGTTCAACAGCGGCGAGGTCACCCAAGCGCTCAATGTCACCACCCGAGCGCCGCACGGCCGCCCTGTTGTTCTGCATCCTCCTCCTCGTCATCATCCCTTCTTGGTATCGAGTCTATTGACTCTCGCTAATGGAACACATTTCTGCCGCTAGTTTTTTTCCATTAGAAATGGTGGGGGGAGGGGGGAGGAAATTATTCCGCGCGTGAAAATTGAACATATTTATTCTTATTACCCATTACTGCGAGACAAAAGCATTCAGAAAAAAATAAAAATATAAACAGTATATTCATTTATATGAATACGAGTGCGCTGTTTGCGAGCCCGATACTTGTGATGAATTTTGCAAATACCTTTTTTGGTAAAATGCATAAACATCTCTCAGTGTTGCGATGCAAAAAATCCATATGGCGCCTGCATACGGATCTCTCCATCCGCGGCAGTAGAAATTCCCTCGGACGTGTTTCCCTCCTTGGGCTGCCACTCCGTCATTTGTCTCGACCACTACCACCTCTACCAGTGGTGACGTGTCCTGCCCAAGCCCACTCACTACTCTTCCTCGGAGTCAACGTGATGTGCCGAGTTTGCATCAACGATACAATTATTTTACCAGGTAAGGCCCCACTGACCTGTGCATCTCTTTCTCAGAAAATGGCCACAAATGATAGCTCAGAAACGATCAACACCATCAAGTCCACGTAAAGCTTCAGCAGAGCAGACATCACGACTGCTTTGCACATGCCCCTTTTTGCCAATCCACTGCTGGATGAGTGCCTCTCCATACCGTGTGGGTTACTTCACTCATTCCTCACCACGCTGGCCAACTCAGACTGGCGAAGGCAGGAAACGTAATCACGGCAGCACAGACGTTAAGAGTACAACAATGGGTTATTTGGCACTGCCCTTTGCCGTCTACAACATCGACGACACCCGTCATGAATGGCAGTCACCCACTCAAGCACGAAGCTCAACCTTGCTTAGAGATCTCGTAACATTCATCAGAATCCAGAAGATTTGGTCATGGACGAAAATAATGGCAAAATATTAAATGTTTATTCACACTTATTAAACAAACAATTTTTAAAAAAAACTACACAACTATGCACTGCATTTTTTGGTTCTTTCGGTAAAGTCACGTAGAAGGGAAGTAATAAAATAATAAAAATAAAACATAATAAAATAATTCTCACGACGTTGTATTACTTCCCTTCTACGTGACTTTACCGAAAGAACCAAGAAGATGAATCCCTGCAGTCACGAAAGCTTTAAATCGAAAATTATGCACTGCATTGGTTGTACAATAAACACGAACATTAACATGTAAACACACACACAGATAAATAACTCCGTACAGCCCTATAGACTGTTGGGGTAAGCACCGATTAAGTTTGCTGGATATTAAAATACTCATTTAAGGTTGATGCACCAAGAGGATGCCCAGGGTCCATGGATTGGTCCAGAATCCCACACGCCATCGATGTTATCCATGGTCAAGATGAGAACTATGGATGCAGGGTTCGTAGCGTAGTACTGGAGCAACCGCCCCACCACACCACGAACACAAGACAAAGATCCCCCGTGTAGCCCTTTACAGATTATTGGAGCAAGTGCTGTTAACGAGCACCTATTAAACCAGGCACGGTGCTCACGTAGGTGGTAGTCAACAGCACTCCCGTGCTAATGCATACACACGAAATGGGGTACTAATTTAAGGCTGAGTCAACCTAGGGAAGTCTCTGGACCGGTTCCGATACCACTCCGCTACCGATATTAGCCGTGGCAGGGTTCTCACTGCAGTGTGTTAACCACTAACTCCACCACTCCCTCTCGGGTACAAAGACAACAAACAACAAAACAAAGATCCCCTTCTTCTTGGTTCTTTCGGTAAAGTCACGTAGAAGGGAAGTAATAAAATAATAAAAATAAAACATAATAAAACAATTCTCACGACGTTTCGGCCACAACGCAAGCAGCCGTCCTCAGGTGAAAACCAGGTCCGTCGAGGCGACAGAGTCTTAGAGTCGCGGCATCTCTTCAGAAAGGTGAGAGACTCGATTAGCTGAGCCTTCTTATCCCGGAGCTTGTTGAAGGATCTCAAAGTTATGTGGAAACCCTCCCCGTAGAGGCGGTTAAATTTCGATTTAAAGCTTTCGTGACTGCAGGGATTCATCTTCTTGGTTCTTTCGGTAAAGTCATGTAGAAGGGAAGTAATAAAATAATACAAATAAAACATAATACAATAAAATGCTCACGACGATTTGAATCAAAGTATGGAGATGACATATTATTGGTTCTTTCGGTAAAGCCACGTAATAATAAAAATTAAACGTAATATTATGTTTAAATGTTTTTATTTTATTACTTCCCTTCTACGTGACTTTACCGAAAGAACCAAGAAGATGAATCCCTGCAGTCACGAAAGCTTTAAATCGAAATTTAACCGCCTCTACGGGGAGGGTTTCCACATAACTTTGAGATCCTTCAACAAGCTCCGGGATAAGAAGGCTCAGCTAATCGAGTCTCTCACCTTTCTGAAGAGATGCCGCGACTCTAAGACTCTGTCGCCTCGACGGACCTGGTTTTCACCTGAGGACGGCTGCTTGCGTTGTGGCCGAAACGTCGTGAGAATTGTTTTATTATGTTTTATTTTTATTATTTTATTACTTCCCTTCTACGTGACTTTACCGAAAGAACCAAGAAGATGAATCCCTGCAGTCACGAAAGCTTTAAATCGAAATTTAACCGCCTCTACGGGGAGGGTTTCCACATAACTTTGAGATCCTTCAACAAGCTCCGGGATAAGAAGGCTCAGCTAATCGAGTCTCTCACCTTTCTGAAGAGATGCCGCGACTCTAAGACTCTGTCGCCTCGACGGACCTGGTTTTCACCTGAGGACGGCTGCTTGCGTTGTGGCCGAAACGTCGTGAGAATTGTTTTATTATGTTTTATTTTTATTATTTTATTACTTCCCTTCTACGTGACTTTACCGAAAGAACCAAGAAGATGAATCCCTGCAGTCACGAAAGCTTTAAATCGAAAGATCCCCTTCACAAAGTGTTAGGGAAAGAGTTGCTCGCGAGCACCGAAGAAGGCCAGGACTGGGTCAGATAATCGTCACTGGTGTTGGCCGTGAGCGGGAATCGAACTCTGGCCATAGCGTAGCGCGCTAACCGCTGTGCCACCGCTCCCCTGCACCGAACATATGTACAAAGATGCTCCCGTAAAACCTTGACAGATTGGTGGCGATGTTTACACACCGCACCAGGTACTTATTTTAGGCTGGGTCGACCTAGGAGAGGCCTCGGATTCGTAGAGATAATCGTTAGCCGTGCTGGTGGCAGGAATCGAACTAAACTATTCAACATTTTTTTTTATTTTACCAGAATAGGCCCACTCAGCTATACAAGTCTTTTTTCAGAAGCGACCTGACCACAATTGATAGCTCAACAAAGTGGCTTATCATGTGGGAGTGCAGCGTGCTAACTGCTGCACCACCGCTCCACGCACACATACACACGCACATTAATACCCCCCCCACCCACAATCGAATGCCCCACACACGAGGGGGAATTGTCTCCACAAAGGCAGCTCGGCACACTTGACACGGGAGTGAGGAACGCGACCTTGAGCCGCCGAGCATCCGCGTTGCGCGATATTTTTATCCCAACGATGAACACGACTGACGCTCGCGCTCTTAAACGGCACTCCTGGTCACTCAGCTCCCCCCGCCCCCTCTCACGCAGATCACTTCCTCTCGTCCCCTAAACCCCCTCGGCACCAACCCCCCCCCACCCCCACCGGACGCGCCTGGCACACGAGAGCCACCGCTCTCAAGTTGCCGCCACCTTCGCGTCACCGACGCGATCGGAGGTGACCTCGGTACGTGCAGCAACAACATCGACATCCGCCATTCACCGCTAAGTGGCGGTGACGTCGCCACGGTGCTTGTGCCATGCTAGGTGCACGTGTACACACACATTCACAACAAAGACTTTGATACCCCGCGTACAGCCGTTAACAGTCTGCTGGTGCAAGTGTTGTTAGCGAGCACCCATTTTAAGGCGGGCAAGGCACGTGCGTGGGGGAGGGGGGCATGAGTGGCCAGCACAACGCCCGGCCGCCTGAGTCTCCCCATTGTACTCATTTTAAGGCTGAGTCGACCTAGCTGAGGTCCAACATCGGTTCAGATGACCATCACCGGTGTCGGCCTGGGAGCGGGAACGGAACCCCGGTCGGCGGGTTCGAAGCACAACGCGCTAACCGGTGCGCCACCACTCCCCACTTACAGATACGCACGCACCGTAACTGCAACACACCGATGCACATCCACAGGATGGCTCCTGCACACCACTCGAATGGAGCGTGCGCCCCACCCGGCCTTCGTACACCGGCGGCCATTTGAATCAAAACGCCATGAGTGATGATTTTTTTCTCCCCCACCTCGACGTGTCGTGCTGTGAATCTCAAAAAGGGACGTTTTAGACTTGATGTTTTTGGATAAAACCAGCCACTGGGCCTACCACTGTTGCCGTGGAAGCCACAGCCACCGGGCGGTGCTGGGGGATTAAGATGAAGGCTCTGCAAGGGAAATTAGGAAGGGGTTGGAATGGGGTTCATAAGTCGGGGGGGGGGGGGGGTAGGCAAGGTTTGAAGTTAGGAATGCGGTTGGGTGCCTAGACTGGAGTTTAGACTCAGGGGGTTAAGTGGATGTTAATTTGGGGTTCAAGTTGTGAGTCTCGCATGAGGTTGAGTTTGGATTTATTTGTTATGGAATTAGGCCTAGGGACGGTGTGAGTCCAGGGGCAAGGCGGGAGTTAAGTGTTGGTTTAGGGGTTGCAGTTTTAGATTGTGACATGCTGACCTCTGACCCTACTGGACGTCTGTGAAAAAGAGCTTCATTGGAATCCTCCAATTTAAATAGAGATAAATATAGATTCCGATTCTGAGACTAAGGTCTAGCTCGCAGTGTGGGCCATTGTAAAGCCAGTAGTCGCCTGCTGGTGGTAGCGATGCCGACCGGCGTGGAGGAGCCGTGATGAGATGTGGTCCAGCGGCGGGGACGGGAGGGGGCGGCGATCGCGGTCAGCCAAGGTCCGGGATCTTCATTTCGTGAGCTCCCGGTGGCAGATCCAGAATGTGGACGATGGGCGGGGATGGTCAAGGGTCACACACACACACGCACGGCTCGGCCGGCAGGGCTGCTTGAATCTCCGATCAATACGAGCAAAGCATTGACCCTGCTTAATTGCTGCATAATCGTTATCTCAATTGTTTTTCGATTTAAATTTCTTTGTACCTCAATGTTGTTCTGATTGCGCCACCGGTGTTAAGTCACGGGATGCACGATCTATTTGAATCTCTCTGCGAGAATCTGCGAACGACCCACGTAACCGGATGTCACAGAGCCATATCCGAGATCCCTTGAACCGACATCTGTTCCGGTCCTTCTACTTGATTAATGTTCGTCACGTGAGAAGTAAATATTTTTACATACGTTTAATTGTCAAAAGGTGGAATCCCACCAATTTAAATGCAGAAACAAATTCAACTTGATGTTTTCCCCATGCAGTCATTGGTCACTGCGCTAGAACGTTTGACTCGCAAGGCTTGAGAACTTGATGTAATCACAGGCAGCTGTCTGGATTTCAAACAGAGAATCTCAGCGGTGACATCTCAAAACTCGGTCCTCCTTCTCACCCACCCACCTCTCATTATTTCGACTGTGAATTACAACATCCCCCGTATAGCCTGTAACAGATTGCTGGACAAGGGTTGGGTGGCCAGCACCACGCCCGGCCACCTTTGTCTCCCTAGTGGCGATGCCTACACACCGCACCAGGTACTATTTTGAGGCTGAGTCGATTTAGAGGAGGCCGAGGTTCAGTTCAGACAACCGTCACTGGTGTTGGTGGACGTGAGCAGGAATCGAACTCAGGCCGCCGGGTTCGTAGCACTGCGCACTAACCGCTCCACTGTGAATACAACCACACACAATAATCACACACAATCATCACACACCCCCACCCGTGTTTGCATTGTGCTGCTTAGTGAAGGGTGAGTCACCACCATGCATCACGCTGCAGCTCCCCCGCACTCCCGTGTACTCAAAGCAGGACACGGCCTCGGAAAAGAAACGGCTCTTATTTTTGTAGCTCCACACCGACATTAGTTTGAAGCGTTATTAATGTGAACAGACATTTAACGAAACGGCCCAGAGTGCTGTCGTAAAATGTCATCGCAGAGTCGTGTATTAGAAAGTACAGGAGTGATGTTACTATGTCACTAGAGCATGTAACTGTAACTTTCAAGTATTTTTATTCCTATTATTAACAATTCGTGTCAAACAGACTGGCACCCACACATACCTACAAGATGAGAATGAGTACAGAAGCCTGCACAGCAGATTCTTGAATCCATCTTTGTCGAGCTATGAGTGTTATGTCATCGTGTGCATGTGTTCTGTGGGTAGTCCGGTTTCCTTCCCCACATGAAACCAATCACTCAACGAATTAGAAATATCTCCCGACTGTAGGATCTTCCTGCACGTGTTCGGAGTCAGTGAGGCGATGTTAAAACTGTGCATCTTCATCATTGTTTTTCATTGCACCAATCCACATAAAAGACAAGCTCCCTGCCGCATGCATTATACACGAGGCCCTGCTTGGGGAAGCTTCCATTTTCCTCCAGGTCAAAATTTTTAACGAGTGTCCTGGGAGTTTTTTTTTACTTGATAACCCACACAATCTCACAGCCCAGAGGCTCGGCTTTTGTTGACAGTGGGGCGGATTAAGCGTCTGAAGCGAGGAGCAAATTCCTACGTCCGTTACGAGGTCATCCACGGTGGGGGGGGGGGGGGGGGGGGGAAGGTGAGAAGCTAGAATGGGTTATATAAAAAAATATATATACAAACCACACACACATACACACAAACGTGTTATCAACCTTTCCCAGGAACACCCCTCAATCGTCCTGTAACCGGAGCGCTCGAGGCAAAGCGGGAGCGGCCAGATGGAGGATATCATTCCCTGCGTGGCCATGTGGTCGATGAGCGCGGCAAGCGGCGTGTACAGCCTCAGCGTGGGGAGGCAGCCGAGGAGCAGCAGCTTGTGCTTGGCCCTCGTAACGGCGACGTTCAGCCGGCGTCGGTCCTTCAGCAGCTCCCCCAGCTGCGCGGGCAGGGCACAGAGACAAAGGCAAAGATTCCACCGTGTAGCCTGAACAGACGTTTTGGGCAAGTGCTGCTAGCGAGCACCGATGAAGGCCGGCACGGGACACGAGGGGGTGGGTGGCCAGCACCACGCTGGGGAGAGAGAACACACACAGACGGGCACGAGAATACACATGGGACATGCGGTAACGAGAAAAAAATCGTCCTGATAACCTACACAGGCTGTTAGAAGAAGTGTCGTCAGCAAGCACCTATGAAGGCCGGCAAGGCACGTGTGTTGTGGCCAGCACCACGCTCAGCCGTATTTGTCATCCCCTCAGCGAAGATGTTTACACACAACGGTACGCACGTATAAAGAGGCGATACACACAATACAGGTAGGCCATGCGCAAATAATCGTTTCAGATCATCGTTACCGATGTTGGCCATGCACGAGAATCTAACTCGGGGTCGCCGGGTTCGTAGCGCAGCAGCGCTAACCTTTGCACCGCCGCTCCCCACATTATGCTACATTACAGGCGCGCGTGTGCACACACGTGCACTGCGAGCGGGCTTGCTGCGAGTGTGAATCCTCTCTCGGCTCAGGGTCAATCGGGTGCAGCAGCTGTGAATAACGACAACGAGAGCGGAGTCGCCATGTGCGGAGGGCAACCTGTGGACGCACGATGCCGGCCGTTGCGCAGCTCCGCACGAAGCCCACGATGATGACGGGTTTGTCGCGGCCCTGGTACTTGTCCACCGTGTTGATCTCCAGCCCAGCGAGTGCCGACGCCGGACACGGCAGGGCCGCCAGCGCCGCCGACACCACCCCCAGCTGCTGTCGGTACGGAGAGATGATCCCCACGTCCTTCGTGCGGCAGCCGGCCTGAAACACGGCACGGTACGGCGGCATTATGATTATTATTGTGAACGACTACCGGGAACAAAACGGCGTGTGGAACTAGAATAGAACTGGAACGGAACAGAACAGAACATTCACCCTATGCAAACCTATGAACGCACAAGGAACCTCTGAGTGTCCGGCAATAAATGTAGGAGGGCCTAAATCCCCTTCTGTCTGCGGAACCACGAAAATTGCGCGTCAGAATCTAGGGAGCTAAAACTACAGCTGCCAAATTCTAGAAACGTTGCTAAAAAAGTAAACAAATTAAGAATAAAATGAGAGCGTTATAGTTGCACATGGCACAGCATAATAATTGGAGCTAATTCATTATTATAGAACTGAAATCACACACGAGAGGGAGGATGGCCCTGTTCCATTTAAATTTAAATGTCTCCACCACCGAGTAATAAACGCAACCGGAGAGCGGGTGAGGGGGGTGAGGAGGAAGGGTGAGGTGGGCAATGCTGTCGCTTGCTCACCTTGACGAGAGACGCAGCGATGATGGCGATTAGCTGAGCCTCCGTTGGGTTCTTCATACCACCCTGGTCCACCATCTCTTCGGCCGGGACCTGCGGTGGGATGAGATTCACGCGCCACCACGCCGCGTTTATGTTGCGTGATGCACCGCCAGAATTTACATTGTCGAACGCATTAGTTTAAACCAGCAAACACTGGGGCATTAATACTGGCTCCGTCTTCCTCCCTCCCATTCTAAATAGTCTCTTTTTATTACTTTTATTTCTTTACCAGGTAAGGCCCATGTAGCTCTTTTTCAGAAACGACCTGGCTATCACAAATGACACCTCAACGTAGTGGCTTATCACGTGCAAATGTATTGCAGCCAAATACTCGAAACGCATGTTTCTAAATGCGGAGGGAAAAACCGGAGGACCCGTAGAAAAATCCAAGTGACCACGGGGAGAAGATGTAAACCCCATATATACAGGCGTCAGGGTCGGGATCGAACCCACAACCTCCTGCATACCAGGCGAAGTAGTTAACATCTCGCCGAGTGAGAGAGACAGGCAAACAGACAGGAGAAAGGCCTCGTAACCATAGAGACAAACTACAGGGCTGTCCAGGCCCACGTCTCCTTAAAAGCAAAAACCCACAGTCTGACCCCAGTGCAGCTCATCTCCTCTCTCCCAGACAAACTCTCATGTCCCCAAGAACCCCGGCCACCTGCTCTGTGTTCAGGAAGAGAACTGGGCGGTCGGGGTCCAACGCTTGTGCCATCCACGAACGGTCGCCGCCGCCCATTCCATGCAGGAGGGCGGGGAGCGCCGGCAGGGAGAGGCGGCACGTGGACACGCGCTCCGAGCCGCACGCCAGCAGCCCTCCGTACGTCAGCACGTTGCTCAGGGACATGATCTCACTGCGAGACACGGGCACGATCGTCAGCGTGGTCGTCGTCGTCGTCGTCACTGGCCGTGTTCAAGACATGGACAGATGAAGGCCTCCCGCAAGTTTTCTCCAACTCGCGAGGTCTCGCGCTGCAGCCAATATCGTCGCTTCATCTCCGCGGCAGACGTCCTCTCGGGCAGGCTGCTCCCTTTCGCTGCCTTTCCGTCGTCAATTTCGACCACCGAAACATCATTCTTTTTATTGGCCGTGTCCTAAACAATCCCACTTACTCTCCTTGAAGTCAAGATTGTGGTTGCTCGCAGCGCAATTCCAAACATGCACCGCGACAGCACAGGACTGGTCCGAACACTCCACACGCTCAATATCGTCCACGTGCCTTCCGTGCACTACCCACTTCCTGCAGCCCAGTGCCGCCACTGCGTGTTCATCGGGTGAGAGTAAGGCCTGGGTGAGGATGAATACATTTCTAATTTACATGTCTTTGTCATCACTCCATATTAGTTGTTGGGGATCGTTCGACCCTATTTCACCACCCTGTTAAGTGGGGGTTGGTGAGGGAGGTGCCTCAAGCCGGTTCGAAATATCACTCGCCACTCATATTACTAATGACCAGGGATTGAACTCAGGTCCACCGGGTTCATAGCACAGAGCAAAACAGCATCTATGAATGGATAATCATTGATTCTTAAGCAGACACACACAATTTGATGGGTGTATCGTGAGCTTAAGAATCAATATTCGTCAATAAATTGATGCATCCGTTATACCCCTCAAATACAAAGAGCACCTATGAAGGCTGGCTCGGCACACGCCTTTGTCTCCCAAGTGGCGATGTTTACACATCGCACCAGGTACTCATTTGAGGCCGAGTCGACGTAGGGGAGGCCCAGGACCGGTTCAGATCATCGTCACTGGTGTTGGTGGACGTGAGCGGGAATCGAACCCAGGTCGCCGGGTTCATGGCGCAGCACACACACACAAAATCACACACACGCACACAGATCACACCCTCCCTCCACACACGCCTCATATTGCCCACATCCACTCTCCACACACGCAGCGCCCTCACCACTACACGACCGCTCCCCCACACTTAAACACGCACACACATAAACACATTATAGACGGATGACCTTTATAATGAGGTAATGGCTCATTGTGAGCAGAAGTCTCTGTCTCAAGGGAGATCCGAGTTAAAATCGATACGGCAAAACAAACTGCAACACAAATTGTAAATATTAAATAAATAATGTGCATCATCGTCAATCGTGTTCAATTCACTGGTGGTTGAAGGCCACCACCCCAAGCTGTCACCATCTCTCAAGGCCCCGCGATATAAAAATCCATCGTGCGCCTGCACTGGAGCCGATTTGCTCGCACCATCTTCGTGGCGGACGTTCGCAAGCAGTAAGTAAAAACGAAATATATAAAATAAAGAGTCTTTCTGGAAGCTAGTCAGAGCTGAGATCGGCTGTGACGGTGTTAGTTTGCATCGCTTCCAGCGCTGGCGTGGCACACACGCAGAGCAAGACGAGGGATATGAACCTTTAACCCGTCACTCAGGCATGATGGATTGTGATGAACTGGTTAGTCTGTTCGTGAATGAAAATGACACCAAAATGAATCGATTGATTACGCTTTAAACAATTCGCATTTGTAATAATCACCGCAAATTGACTCCCTAACCGGGTTGTGAACCATAAGAGCAACGGATGTGGGAGTGAGTGTGCAGCACCCCCGCACCTGTTCATGCGGTACTGCAGGTTGAGATAGACCACAGCCTCCGCGTGGCACTCGAGACGCTTGAAGAGAGACTCGTCCATGCCCATGGCTCTGCGAGACGGCACCGCAGCGCGCGCAGAGATACGTTGCCACGTGTGTAGCGATGCATTGCCACGCACAGCACACATGGAGGTATATTACTCCGCGTCCGCTCGTGTAGGGTCGTCAAGCCACAAGGTGCACGTGGCCTCACGCACACACACACACACGTGTACAAACCTACCCACGCACGCACGTACGGCAGAAGAGCACAGCGCTATAAGCTAATGCAGTCCAGTGCAAGCACACACGCACCCTGAATGCACACACAAAAACCAGCATGCCCACATCTACACACACCCACGCAGCAACCCACGCAGGCAGGCACCTGGCGCGGGGGTTGAGCACGAGCGGGGGCAGCTGGTGGTGGTCTCCGACGAGCACGAAGCGCGACGCGTGCAGCAGCAGGCCCAGGCACACGGGCTGCCCGATCTGCGACGCCTCGTCCACGATGCAGAAGTCGAAGACGCGGCGCGAGAAGATCGCGTGGCGCAGGCCCATGCACGTGGTGGCCACCACGCGCTGCATCGCACACCACAGGCACGCAGCACCACACGCACCGCCGTCTGTCACCCCCCAGGGACTTGACATTCACTCTATCCTTGCACTCGTGCGAACGACTAAACAGCACTGCGCGTTTCGTCCTGTGATTGGTCAGCCACGGCCATTGTAGAGCACCAGCGGCAGGGCTCGTCGGTCGCTCTGCGGTACGGTCCAGATTCTCATGGACACGGAGAAACACGCACGGGGCTGGACCTCACCGACCAATCACCCCCCCAGCTACAACCCTCAGCACCGAGTACTCCAGGGCAGTTCCTCCCACCCAAGTACTGAACCGTGCTCAACTTTACTGAACATCCGAGAAGTGTTGACGAGATCGGACGGCCACGCCGGGCAATCTGCCGAGGAAGGCTACGCACGCATCGGCCAACGTTGAACGCCGAGCACGGGGCCACCTCACCTGTCCGTCGTAGAGCTGCTGGAGCTGCTCGGGGGTGCGCACGTCGTGCTGCCGGCACAACTCCTCCTCGGTGAAGGCGTGCACGCCGGCGTGAACCTTGGCCTGCCGGCCCAGCCGCAGGAAGGGCACGCAGTGCGGCGCGAGCTTGAGCAGGATGTTGTCGACGGCCGAGTGTGTGTAGCTCGTGAGCAGTACGCTGTGGCCGCACGCGTGCAGGATGCGCACCTGCACACGTGCCCGCGGTTTTGGGGGGAGGCGGGAAGGGGGGGGACACATGGCGCGACTTCTATGTGATCGTCGCCAGCCGAGGCCGCGACGCCAAGGGTGGGGGGGAAGTGAAGTTGTGGGCCACGAAATGAGCCCGCGAATCGATTTCACCCGGCCCCGTGACTTCGTTTCGAACAGCCCCGGCCATTTACTTTCACACAGCTCACAGATGCTATGATAAACTAAACGATGATTTGTTTTTTTATCAGGTAAGGCCCACTGAGCTATATATCTCTTTTTCAGAAGCGACATGGCCACAAATGATAGCTCAATAAAGTGGCTGATCACATGGAAATGTCTCGCAGGAGCTAAGTTGACCTGGGTCACCAAAATTACAAAAGCAGTCAAACAAAGAGCTAACAACGAAGCAGAGCGATATTGTGGGCGACTCTCCTGGCAGTCAGCCGCCAGGGCTGCCGTGCGCTGGGGGGAGCGGAGACAGAGTCGACGTCGTTGTTACCAGCGTGCATATGGTGGTGGTTTTCCCCGTGCCAGGCATGCCGACAATGAGCGTGTAGTCCCGTGACAGCAGCACTCGCTTCATCGCCTGCCTCTGGGGTCGGTTGAGGCCTGAGAGCACAGATGCACGGGGACAGCGCAGATTCGCAATTCTCATCCCACCCACGTGTATGCAGAGGGGACAGACCACACAACACCCTAAACACACACGTACACTTACAATGTATAACCACCTAACACACACACACTTAGATCAAATATCCATCCTACACACACACACCCATGTGGCTCACCCTCCACACATACCTGTACAGCAACATCCAACCTAGGCACGTACAAAACACACAGCTTCAGATAATTGTCACTGATGTTGACCGTGAGTGGGAATCGAACCCAGTTTGCCGGGTTCGTAGCGCAGCACACAGACACGAAGCCACACACACCCACACCCTCCTCCCTCCACACACACCTCGTAATGGCCACGGCCCCTCTCCACACAAGCACGCTCTGTATGGCTAAATGACCAGTGGCCCTAGAGTTGCAGCACATGTCACAGGACACCACAACCCAGGCAGCCCAAATAACTCCCCTGACAGCACCAGCTTTTAGGAGCCGTGCCACCCACCCCCCCGCCCCCCCTCCCCACACGTACCACCCACCGCCGCGCCCCCCCTCCCCACACGTACCACCCACCCCCCCTCCCCACATGTACCACCCACCCCCCTGCCCCCCCTCCCCACACGTACCACCCACCCCCACGCCCCCCTCCCCAGAAATGCCACTCACCACCCCACCCATCTCTGCCTACTCCCCTAATTGTTGTGCGTACCCTTCAGGATCTGTGCCACCGTGGCCTTGGCGTCAACCGGTAGAACGTCGCTCAGTCGCTCCAGAAACTCGGGCCTTTTCAGATCGATGACGAGCTCCCGCAGCTTGGCACTGATCAAGACAAAGACAAAGATCCTCCTTATAGCCTTAACATAGTTTCAGGGCAAGTGCTGTTCGCGAGCACTGATGAAGGCAGGCGTGACACACGAGACAGTGGCTGGCTAACACCACACCCAGCAGCCTTTGTCTCCCCAGTGCTGTATTTGCACATCGCAATAAGTACTCATTCAAGTTTGAGTCGACCTAGGGAAGGCCCAAGACCGGCCCAGATATTCACCACTGTTATTGCTCGTAAGTAGGAATCAAACATACATTCACCCACACACGCACGGACGCACAAACATGTTCACTCATGTCCACATGCATTAACATACATGCAGGTGCCAGTGGATATTAACATACATGCAGGTGCCAGTGGGCATATACATATACAAGTGTGGGTGACTACAAGTGTATGTGTGCGTGTGTCAGTGCGTGTGTACAGGTGTATGTAGCCATGAGTCTGTCCAGATGTGTGTACTCGTACGAGGTATCCGGATCTATGCCTGTGTCCACGCATGTCTGTGCGTTTCAGTGCATATGGACCGGTATTTGCATCGGTGGTCATGCACAACTGTGTGCATGTGTGTTTGCCGATGGGGTTGCCCAAGGAGTGTCTGTGTACAGTTATGAGAGTGCATACCTGGCGGGGGTGTTACTCAGCAGGCGAGAAAGGTTTCCCAGGTGAGTGTCCACAGAACCCGAGAAGCTCTCGTCCACGTCCAGACTGAACAAGAAGGCCGCTCCGAACCTCCCCAGGTCCCTGGGCCAGCACAAGCGGCAATGAGACGACGACAAGGAAACAACGAAAACTAAGCACTCAGAGACAACTCTCGGCTTTACACAAACTCCCGAGTTGAACTCGAAAGAGCCTCACCGGTCAACCTGGCACTCAATCTCATGGTTGGTGACGGACAACACCGTGGCCGTGGCGATGGCTGTCGTGGCGGGGTCTTTGCCGCTCACGATCACTCGATCGCCGACGGCGACGCAGCCTTGAGGGGCCGACCCCTGACCCTCCAGGTCCGGCGTGAGCCCTGCTGCCCCCCATCCTCCCTGCGGTCCCCGGCGCCGGAAACGCTGGGTGAAGAAGCGTCCGTCTGGTGTGGCCACGGCCGGGCCCAGCAGCGTCAAATCACAGACGCAGAGACCCTGCGCCTGCCTGCACCACGCCAAGCATTCCGTCACACTCGTCAACAACCACGATCAACCACCACACGCGAGTGCACATAACTCACAACAACCAGACACCACGCACAATAATACTATGAGCGTACACACCCGACGACGACACACCACAGAGTACAATCACAGTCACACTCCGCAACAATCACACACGCAGTGGCCTTGGGGCCGCCTGTACTGCCACACGTTCGGGCACACATACCAACAACGACACACAACAACCAGACACAACCACGCACAACCACACGACCAATCACATCCAATGCAGTAGTTGTATTCCTACCTGTACCGCACACAACACGCGAGCCGTCATACACATCAACAGCCAGAGATGGCTGGTCTCATACATCAACAATCAGGCACAACGATAACCACATAGCTGGCCAAACACACACACACCAACAACAACCACACAAAGACAACACAACCCGTCAGAATCCACACACACACACACGCGCGCGCATACGCGCTTGCGCACACACGCTCGCGCACATGCGGTTACATCTGCAGTCAGTCACGACACCACATGTGATGGACGCACGTACGCACCTCTCGTGCGGTGACAGAACCCACAGGTTGTGACGGCCGCCCTTGCTCTGCTCGGTCTGCGCCTCCAGCAGGCACAGCAAGTACCAGCGCGAAAAGTAGCGCAGGTGAGCGCGGCCCAGGTGCTGCGTCCGCTCGGCCAGCAGCGACACGAACTCGACGGGCCACGAGGAGGAGGCCGGGGCGTCGCTCGATCCACGCGCCTCCTCTTCCACCGCCCTGCCAGTGGCACAGCAACGTCCCTTACACGGCCAGCGGGCGTAGGGGGCTTACGGCCAGACTGTGCTTCACTACTCTGGTCAGTGCTGGTTGGGGAAGGGGGGAGCCAGAAGACTGGTGCATCTGCCAGTTATGTCAGTCAGTCAACCCATGGCACCTCAGTCTGTCCCGTGACCTTCCGTCAGCGAGCCTTCGACACTTCACGTGGCCTCAAAGTGCACCTGGCCTGGCACAGGCGCCGTAGTGACGCCACCTTTACTTAGTGGCGAATGGCGGGAATTGGCATTGGTATTGGGCCAGGCGACCGTTGTAGATATCGCTCACCACCGGTGTTAGCCGAGGCCAGAAATCGAACTCAGGTTGATGGGTTTGTCAGTGCGGCGAGCGTTAACCACCGTGCGCCGCTCTTTCTCCACTTGAAGCTACAGGGTAACAACATACGATTCTCGACAATCCCACCTACGATTTCGTAACGCACGCAACGCGAGCGTAAGAAATTATTTTGAACGATGAATCAACGAAGCATCGTTGCACGGCCACCGGCGAGACTGCCGCCCCACGGGTTTTTGTTTGCGTTTTACCAGTTAAGGCCCACTGGGACATGTTGCTTTCTTTCAGAAGTGGCCACAATTTATAGCTCAACGAAGTGGCTTATCATGTGCAAATTTACAGCAGCCAAATACTCTAAATGTGGAGGGAAAAACCGGAGGACCCAAATAAAAATCCAAGCGACCACGGGGAGAACACGCAAACTCCAAATATGCAGGCGTCAGGGTCGGGATCGAACCCGCGACCTCCTGCATACCAGGCGAGGTAGTTAGCATCTCTCCACCGTGGCGCCCACGGGGCGGTCTGTAGGCACCGTCACCTGTGGTAGACGGCACAGCTGCCCAGCTGGGAGCAGTTGCGGCAGGTGAACATCTCGGCGATTGGCTCGGGCAGCGGCGCCGGCCGTGGCTCTTGGCGATCTTCTTCCTCCTTCCTTCTCCCTCCAGCGCCTGCGCCGTCGGCAGCGGTCCCGGGCGGCCACCACACGCCATTGGCCAGGCTGTGCGCCAGCTGGTTGCGCAGCTTGATCAGCTCTGAAGAAATGCGCGGCGCGACGACCGCCGTGAACAAACAACAAGAGGGTGGGGGGGGGTGGAAGAGTCGAGCAACGTGAAATAAAAATGACAGCAACGACCTGGAGAATGCTACGTTATTATAAACCTATGTTAATCAAATGTCTTCACCTATAACGCTGACCAGCGTGGTGAAGTACAGTCAAGCAACCCCAACCACCAACATGGTGTGGAGATGCCTTGATCCAGCAGTGGACTGACACAGAGCTGGACACATCTGTGCGCGTGTGTAGCAGTGAGCGGGCTGCGCTAGGAACCCGGCGACTCAAGTTCAATTCCCGCTCGTGGCCAACACTAGTGATGATCATCTGAACCAGATCTGGGCCTCCTCTAGGTTGACTCAACCTCAAATAAGCCAGCCGCGGTGTGTTAATATCGCCACTGGGGAGGCAAAGATGGCCAGGCTTTGATGCTGGTCACCCACCCCCTCGTGTGCCGTGCCAGCCTTCATAGGTGCTCGCAAACAGCACTTGCCCTAAGTCTGTTAAGGCCATACGGGAGGGTGATCTTTGTCTTTGTTTACCACGCGTGTCCACACGGGAGGCCGACACGGGGTGCATGCCGCCCGACTTGAGGTAGAGGAGGAACCCGAGGCCGGGGTCGCCCCAGCGCTCCTGCGTCAAGAGTGTGTACAGCACCACCTACACGACAACAGCAACAGCGTGTACAGCACCACTTACACGACAACAGCAACAGCGTGTACAGCACCACCTACACGACAACAGCAACAGCGTGTACAGCACCACCTACACGACAACAGCAACAGTGTGTACAGCACCACCTACACGACAACAGCAACAGTGTGTACAGCACCACCTACACGACAATAGCAACAGAGTGTACAGCACCACCTACACGACCACAGCAACAGCGTGTACAGCACCACCTACACGACAACAGCAACAGCGTGTACAGCACCACCTACGCGACAACAGCAACAGCGTGTACAGCACCACCTACGCGACAACAGCAACAGCGTGTACAGCACCACCTACACGACAACAGCAACAGCGTGTACAGCACCACCTACACGACAACAGCAACAGCGTGTACAGCACCACCTACGCGACAACAGCAACAGCGTGTACAGCACCACCTACACGACCACAGCAACAGCGTGTACAGCACCACCTACACGACAACAGCAACAGCGTGTACAGCACCACCTACGCGACAACAGCAACAGCGTGTACAGCACCACCTACGCGACAACAGCAACAGCGTGTACAGCACCACCTACACGACAACAGCAACAGCGTGTACAGCACCACCGGGAGAGCTGTTCGTTCTACAGCAGAGTTCGTCTCTCCGATTCGTCAAGTAACACTAAAATAGTTTGACGAAACAAGTCTCACGTCTGTTTCTCAGTTGTGCCGCTGGATGGGAGGTGATGGCCAGGTATTTTTAAGTCAAAGGAATCATCATCATTGGCGAGAATTTAAATAGGCCCGAGCAATGGACCACAGAAAAGTAGTCGATTAGGATTTTTAACTATAAATCGGCTTAGTCGAATGATCGTCCCATTTCGACTCTGCAGCACATACACACACACACAGGTGTCCCCCGCTTGTCGGCGGCTAGGACGTGCCGCAACAAGAGAGGACAGCCACATCGGAAGGAGTAGGTGAATGTGGAACCACCAGGGCGGAGACCAACAGGCAGTGCTACAACGAGAGGCAGTTACAAGGCGTGAACCAGGATGTGAGGGCCTGTCAAGTAGACGTGAAGATGATGGCCCAGGACAAACATGCGTGGAGAAAGGGCGGTACACACATACAGAGCTCACACGAGCGGGGGACACATGCCAAGAAGAAATAGTCAACAGGTGCAAATTGTAATTGGGATGAGAATTGCGGATCTGCGCTGTCTCCGTGCATCTGTGCTCTCAGGCCTCAACCGACCCCAGAGGCAGCCGATGAAGCGAGCGCTGCTGTCTTGGGACTACACGCTCATTGTCGGCATGCCTGGCACGGGGAAAACCACCACCATGTGCACGCTGGTAACAACGACGTCGTCCCTGTCTCCGCACCTCCCAGCTGACTGCCAAGACAGTCGCCCACAATATATCTCTGCAACGTTGTTAGCGCTTTGTTTTGTCGCTTTTATCATTTTGGTGACCCATGTTTGCGTCTTAACAGTATTTGGCTGCTAGAAATGTCCACGTGATAAGCCACTTCGTTGAGCTATCATTTGTGGCCAGGTAGCTTTTAAAAGAAAAAAGCTATTTACAGTTAAGTAGGGCTTACCTAGTAAATAAAAAATAGTTTATTGTTGAGTTTAGTCATGGTCTCATTGGCAGCCTGCTTCACCAAAGCGAGGGTTTACCTGCGCCCTGTGCTCGATGGAGTTGCTTTCCTTTCCCGTCTTCAGCTCCAGCGGCACCGTGCGGACAATTTCCTCGTTTCCCCGCCCGTGGACCTTTCCGGGGGGGGCGGCGGCGGCCCTGTTGTTGGCGTGGCAACGCGCCCGGCGGTGGATGCGCACGGTCGCCATGGCGTCCACCTTGCCCTTGAGGCCGAAACGCGGGGACCAAACGCTCTCCTCCACGTCCCCGAGGTGGCGCACGGACACCGTGCACGCGCTGGCATCGGCCTCTCCGGTCCTGCGGGTGCACGCACGCACACGCACGCACGTATATACGCAAGCACCAGTACGTGCAGACACTGACATGCACACATGCGGACGACGTGCAAGCATAGGCATGGGCAAACACACTCAAAGAGATGCACAAATGTATCAAAATGCACAGACATAAAGACAGGGTGAGTGAGAGGAATGATCAGTGAGTGACTGTGAGGAGTGCTTGGTGAGCGTGTTAGTAATCATCGGCGGGTTTTAAAGACTGTGAATACTGATCAGTGAGTGTGCGTAATGATCAGTGTGAGTGTGGGAGTGAGTAATGTGTGAGTAAATGATGAGTGAGTGTGAGCAATGATCGATGAGTGCGAGTAACGATCAGTGTGGGCGATTCGTGGGCAGAGTTCGAACGAGCCGGAGCATATCCCGGGTTCCACGTACATCTTGATCTGCATGTGAAGGCCGTCCGAGGCCGACTTGGGCTCCGGGCCCCCTTCCAGGCACCGACTCGCCCAGCGGCCAATGGCCGAGAAGTACTCCTCCATCTCCCCCAGCAGCTCTGCCTGCGACACGCCCAGCTTGCACCTGCGCCAGAGCATCAGCGCCATTTGCACACACACACACGTGCGTGCGTGTGTGTAAGCTTGTTTATGTGCGTCCATCCATTTGCGTGCGAGTGACAAAGTGGTAAGCGCACTGCGCTATGAACCCGACGACCAGCGTTCGATTCCCACTCATGAACAACATCGGTGACGAGTATCTCATCCGGTCCTCAGCTTCCCCTCGGTCGAATCAGCCTTAAAAATTAGTACCTGGTGTGGTGTGTAAACATCGGCAGTGGGGAGGCAAAGATGGCCAGGCTTTGGTACTTGCCACCCACCCCCCTCGTGTGCAGTGTCGGCCTTCATAGGTGCTCGCTAACAGCACTTGCACTAACAGTCTGATAATGGCTTTACATGTGATTTCTTGGCACGTGAGTTCATAAGCACGAATATAAATATACACTTGCGTGTGCAAGTGCAAAAAAAAACCTGGACACATCCAGGCGCGATAACACCCGTGTGTGCGAATGTATATATATAAATCTGTGCATGAATATACACTTACCTGAGCATGTTCCTGTAGATCTGTGCAGATTGGTACACAAGTGTGTGTATGCGAGTATGCCCGTATGATCAGTGTATGCCAGTCTGCGCGAGTGCGAGCACGGTGACGAAGGCACGGCCGTGTGCGGGTGCAGTCCCGCGAATGCAAAAACACGTGAGCGGGCGTACATGCGTGCGTGCTTACATCTCAGCGAGGTGCTGGAGCTGCGCGAGGGTGGTGGAAGCGGCGCTCCTCAGCGCAGCATCCGAGAAGTCTCGCTGCAGCGCGGCTCTCTGGAACACCTCGTGCAACAGTGTGCCCAGCAGCATCTGCCGCGTGCCCCACTCTCCGCCGCCCTGTACCGCTCAACGGACAAAGAAAAGGATCCCCCCTGTAGCATCTAACAAACATTTTCCAGTGGTACATCTGAGCCAAGCCAGCAAGGGGCCCTCACAGTAACAGTTTTCCATGGGCTGTCTGCCGAGCTGAGCCAGAACCATGATACGCTGGCCTCATAAAACATCCATATCTGACTCGGGGCTAAGCTAGGCCAAAGGTCAAGCGAATGACGCATTGAGTGTGGATCTCAGGCAATACATTGTGAACACACGGCGTCATGACGTCATCTACACGCGTCTCAACTCCTTCGTCGCTTGTGATGCCAGCGGTGCGGGGCGGCCTCGGAAGTGAAGAAACAACCCGGCCACTCTTTGAGCCGCGCCAGGCTGACTCGGCACGGCTCAGTTGCCAAGCGAGGGCGATGCAATGCCATACCTGTCAACCCCTTATCAGTGCCCACCTTATTACAGACCTTATTGGTCACCCCATGCCCTTATAAATCCTGTCAACCCATACGGGTAAACCGTATCGGTTGACAGATATGCGATGCGCACCCCGCACCTCCGATTTGCACGGTCGGCTACGTACAGTGCGGAAGAAGTTAAAGTTCAACCTTGAAGCGCTCCGACAGCACGGCGCGGCGAGGGCAGCGGATGCCGTTGGCGACGGTGGTGCCCGACAGGAGGAGGTCAGGGTTCACGACCACGAAGCCGGCGTCGCTCGTCACCTCCAGCAACGCCGCCGTCGCGCCGGTTCCCTCCTCCCCGCCCCTTGGTGGCACCTCCACAGCACCGTCCAGGTGCAGCACGTCCCCCACGCTTACTGGAGCCAGCGCCCTGCAGGGTCGCGCGGCCCAGTCAGGCGGTGTCCGTTATTTAACCAGGAGATTAAATATAGAACCCGTGGAGACACGATCACAGGTGCACACTCTACGACACCAGCGGGTGGAGACTGGGAGACAAAACAATGCATGTCAATGTATTTTGACCCCGGGGTCCAAATTGTATGGCTGTCAAAATACGAGACCAACAGGAGAGATACTTGCCAGTCGTCTTTGAGGACGCAGGTGAGGCTGGCGCCGCCGGAGGGGTTGGCGGTGAGGCTCAGGTGCCTCTCGCTGCGCCAGGCCCCGAGCGGAACGTCGCGCAGCGCCGCCACGCGGTAGCGATTGTACGCTCCCTCACACAGCAGCTCCCCTCCGCGGCGCCGGCGCTCTGGCCGTGGCGGTGCTTGCAGGGCCGCCACCTTCTCCTCAGAGCTGCGGACGCGATAAGAAATTCATTATCTTAAACAATTTATATTTTATCAGGTTAAGGCCCACTGCGCTATATAGCTCTTTTTCAGCAGCGACCTGGCCACAAATGATAGCTCAACGAAGTGGTTTATTTCGCGTAAATGTATAGCAGGCAAGGTTGTTAGAATCTCGCCACCGTGGCACCCCATAGGTTAAATAGGTTAATCGTGAATAACTAATGATTACTTATACACAGAGTGCTGCCAGAGTCTAATTGTTGGCAAACTGGCCTTACAATCCAGAGGTCGTCGCTTCGATCTCCTGGTACAGGAGATGAATCAATGGGTCAAGTTTCTTAAATCCCTCCCGATGCTGTCCACCCACCAATATAGATGGGTGCAACACAAAACCCCGGTTTAATCAAAAGCTGCTCCGCGGGTTCGATCCCAGGCTCGTGTGGTCCCACTGCAGCGCTCCGACATCTGAGCTGGCTGGATACCTCATTAGATACCATTTTATGCCACTATAACACCCAAATAACATCACGACTGGCACAATGACATCCTTGACCATCATGTTAAATTCTATACTATGATTAACAAAGATTAACACGTGTGTTCTATATCCCAGTAAAAATTATCTAGATAACCGATCTGTAAGAGCCGGATGTTTTTTTGGATTGTGCCTTTATTTGAGGGTGTGATTGAAATGGAACTCACGAATTCTCCTCTACAGTGAAGCTCTCCTGCAGGAACGCATCCAGGATGTCTGGGCTCAGTTCATCTTCTGGAAAATCCTGTGACAATTCCCTCCGCGTGATAGCCTCATGGCTGGGAGGCTTTGGGATATCCCTGTTACCACCACCGCCACCAGAATCACCGCATCTCTCACCACCTCCATTACTACCTACGTTGCCACTGCCAACACCACCACCACTGCCATCATGACCATCACCATTAGCACTACCATCACCTTTACTGTCAACAACACGGTCACCACTAACATTGCCACCACTCTCACCTCCAAGCTTGCCATTACCATCACTACTCAATGCCCTGCTATCACCGTTACCACCACCACTATTCTCACCACTACCATTGTCACCATCATCAACGCTTCTACGATCACCACCTTTCCCACCATCATCACCACCACTCATAACACCACCCCCAACATGGCTGGCGCCAACACATGCCCTCCTCCTGTTCCGCACAAGTGGATCAGCAGCAGCACCAGCAGCAACTACTGCAGAGTTCGTGTCCTCCCTGGGCCCTAGTTGACTTAAGACAGCGCCACTCTTCATCTTCCTTCTCGCTTCCTGTCCTGGGTGGTGCTTGCCCTCCTCAGGGCTGTGCTCCGCTTCAGCCAGAGCCGAGCACAGGGGCTTCAGGTTCACCGAGCTACTCCAGGCCGGGCACAGAGGCTGTAGGTTCACTGCGTCCTGTGAGTTCTCTTTCTCGGTCCCATCTTGTAGGGAGAAATCCGACTTGCCTGTGATCAATACGGCTGATGAAGCCGAATCCTCTCTACCTGACCTTGGATTCTGCGCTTGTTCAGCCGGCGCTGGAGGTTCTGCGTTAGAGTCAATTGGCACACATTCGGAGAGGGTCGGCTGAATTGTAGGCCGGATCCGCTTCGTGTTCAACTCCACGTCGGGACTTGGTGCCAGCCGCTTGGACGTCCCTGGCAGTGGCACCGCCACTCGGCTGTCCACGCTCTTCAGCTCTGCAGAGCGCGAGCGTGCACACACACACACACGCACCCACACGCACAAACTCAGAACTGCACGAGATAAAAAATAGCATGTGTTGCCTGAAAGGAGAACAACTGTACAAATCAGACAGAAATTTAGATTAGTGTCGCGTTAGCACGTCGCGACATCAAAGCAAATGTGGGACGTAATGACGCATCGATTAAAATTAATTCTTACAGACGAGAGGCCAATGGAAAAGAGGAAATAGACAGGAAATGAGATGGTGGGACAATATTTGAATATCTGGAATGCACAAAAATGGAGTTGGCAAGAGATTGTGAAGAGTGGAAAACACTGGAAGACGGCTTTGTCCAGCAGCAGAATGTTACCGGATACAAAAAGAAAGAAACGGCATCTCTGCAGAATCAGCAGGGCTCTCACTGGTTTTGCTTAGCCGCGTTGCTTTTCCATCTTGACGCTCAGCGCGGGCCACCGAGCAACCGCCCGCTGCCCCCCTGCCCACCACAGCTGCCCTCCTGCCGACGACCCGTACGGGCGTCCCCGGCACGCAGTCTCGCTCGGGGGTGTCCGGAATGAGAACCTCGTCATGCGGAATGAACACCACGTCATCATCCGAATCGTCCGCTGGTGCCGACGAGGATGCCTTCCCCACGCCGTCCCCGACTCCGGGCTTGCTCTGCACACAGAGGCCGTGCGTCGTGGTGGCGTTCGCGCTCAGCTCTGCTGCACCGCTCGGCTTCTGTCGACATCACAAAAAGAGAGAGACAGTAAAGCAGCGGTAAGGAAAACCTTCTCCTTGGCCAGGGGCCGAATGTTACAAAAAACCTTCAGCGGGCCACACATTTGCACGATCAGAGCTATGAAAGCTCTGCACAAACATGTTCAAGAATCCATTGCTGTACTGCCATCTTTTGTCCACCTCGCAGCCCAAGCCTACAACACCTAGTATTCCAAGGCACTCTCCCATCGAAGTAATCACCAGGCTCAACTCTACTTCATCGGATGAAAATGGGGTGCAGATGATGACGATGATGTGGATAGAGGCAGTTACAACGCTAACGTCTGGTATTTTTCCGTATTTGTGAAGCCGCCATTGAGTCCTTATATGTTCCATGGTCTGTTCTGGGTGACCAGTCACACTGCTATTCTCTGACAAGTATCATCTTGTTGCTTGCAACGAAATAAAGTTGAAGAATGACATGCTTGCTGCGACGTACCTTGCCGAAGAAGGCCGATATCTTCTGAACGCCTTCCGCCTTGTCAGTGGGCTGTGGACAGCGGGCGACAAAAGCGCACAGGTGAGACATGACGTCGTCCACACGTTAGACACACGAGGCATGACACAGCGGCACGTGACATGTAGTCCGAGTGAGGCACACGATACAGGCAGGCACATGAGACAGAGACACGGCATGTGTGGGACAGGCATGAGACGCAGTGAGACACGTGAGACGAACATGAGACACAGACGGATGCATGGGACATGGCGTGAGGCAAGCAGACGCGTGAGAAAGACATCAGGCAGTGACATGTCACAGACATGTGACACGGGCAGGCACGCGGCGATGTTCACACACCACACCAGATACTCGTTTGAGGCTGAGTCGACGTAGGGGAGGCCCAAGACCGGTTCAAATAATAGTCACCAGTGGTGACCGTGAGCGGGAATCGAACTCAGGTCGCCGGGTTCGTAGCGCAGCGCGCTAATCACTACACTACAATGCGTTACGCTTCCACATGCGCGGGTCACATGACAGATTTGACGTCACAGGTCACTTTCCGTGCAAAAAATATATGCACTATTGAGCTCCCCCCCCCCACAAAAAAGTATATTTTTAAAAATTTTGCATGGTGTACAGTCTGGAAAGTACCCACATGGCAAAACATTTTGAACAGACACACATAATCACAACTTTGCCTTTTATTATTTACACTCTTTTATTATTTAACTCACTCCGTCTGTTGTATCCTCAAAAAATATTGTAACTAAATTTTGACCAACTTCGCAATGGGCTATCGACTGCAAACTTAGTATAGGTATGTCATACTGATGACAAGACCATATTCTAGCATTAAAATTAAAAAAATAATAGTTTTCAACATTTTACACGCTTTTATTTAACTCAACTGTCTGTTGTCGTATCCTCAAATCTTGTAACTCAATTTCAACCGTCTTCCCAATCTGGTATCGACTACAAACTTGGTATAGCTATGTCATACTGATGACAATACTATATTCTATCATTAAAAATATATATTTATAAACGATCTTCTTTACGGCTCTAATTGTCCACGCTCAACTCACGTTGCCTGTAAATCACCACGTGGTCCCTTACGTCACGGCAAGCCTCGGGGAGCCACGCCCAGGGGCGGGGGGTGTGGAGGGAGGGGAGGGGCAGCTAGGACAGTACATTTCATTAAAGCGTGTTCTAAAAAAAAGTATTTTTTTATATTTGATATCTATGGAGATTGCCTTGCGACGTGCCCGAGACATACATCATGCGTGACACAGGAGTGAAACATGCGTGAGACGTGCGTGAGACATGCGTGACACAGGAGTGAGACATGCGTGACACAGGAGTGAAACATGCGTGACACAGGAGTGACACAGGAGTGAAACATGCGTGACACAGGAGTGAGTCTTACCCGCGCCCCGCGCTTGAGTCGCGACATCGCCCGGGCACGCCCGCTCCTCACAAATCCCGATTACAAAACACAACTTACAACCACCACTAACCACCACCACCACTAACCACCATCACTAACCACCACCACTAACCACCACCACCACTAACCAACACCAACCACTACCACAACACAAAGGTTCGGCTCATACCGACTACAACAACAACTCGCGCCAAGTTCGACAGGAGTCGTGTTGACACTAAATATCGCGCCCAGAAGAATCGGCGGGAAAAGTGCGAGCGGTGGAGAATGCACCGCAACCACGGCCCTGCCCCTCGCCTGACCAGCTATGCCCTTCTCTTCTCGCGAGACGTGCCCTTCGCTATACACAACCCTGCCCTTCTCTCTTCACAGCCTTTCTATGAGATCAGCCCTCCTCGTTCTATATCGCTGTCTTTCAAGGCTCTGCCCTTCGCCCAGTCCTTGCCCTTCTCGCAGTTGGGTCCTAGCCCCGCAGCTTGCCCTGGTCCCTCTCTGACCCTGCCTTGCCCTCTGACCCTGCCTTGCCCTCGGATCTCCACTGCTGCACTGCCCGGGCAAGCCACAGGCTACGCGCGTTCCCGCGTACACTGTGATCCAGATCCTTAGGTTTCAACAACGGCTGGTCACGTGGGGAGGAGGGGGGCGGGGCGTAGAGGCGGAGCCAATCCTGAGCGATCGGTTGCTTGAAAGTTCGTCGCAACTCGGTTGCATGCAACCGATGAATCGCTTCCATGTGCAACCAGACGCGCACCTTGGTTGCATTCGACCAAACTACGTCTATGTAGATGTATGTACAAAGTTGCATGCAACCGATTTCGCTCATTTGCGGACGTCTCTGCAACCAGTTGCGGGCAATTGTCGCAACCACGTCCTCTCAAGTCCGCTCCTGAGGATGCTGGTCCATTGTTCGTGTGGCCCACACGAGCAAGAGCATGTCCAAGCATGCAAATGTTGTGTCCGCTCATCCATGCATTCCTCTTCCCGTCTCATTGCAATCACCGGGAATAAGAACAATGGTACGAGTAAATTTTGATTTAAAGCTTTCGTGACTGCAGAGATTCATATTATTGGTTCTTTCGGTAAAGTCACGTAGAAGGGAAATAATAAAATAATACAAATATAAAACAAAAATTCTCACGACGTTTCGACTGCAACACAAGCAATCATCATCAGATGTGAAATCCAGAGCAAAAAAAACCATTATGGGACGAGTGTTTGGTAATCAGCAGGACTTTATTTCAGCTGTGCCAGTGCGCTAATAAACCTTGTGCTTCTAGTAGATCTCTCACTGCTGCTGTTGTTGTTGTGGTAACTCGTGACGTGACACCCATTCCATTCTAGCAGCGAAACAGGACATTTAGTGACCCAATTAACCCCGTTCGCTCTGCCAGCCCACATAAAGTCTATCAGTTTTCCCCATCTCGGTTGGTAACAATTTCGTCCGTTGCCCCTATGACGGAGGTCGTTTATGTAGTAAATTCGATTAGCCGTGTCCCAAAGTTATGGCTTCGGCTACTTCCGTAACCCTTTCAAGAGTAGGCATGCAATGATTCACCATCACTCAACCACCATTTGACTATTTCTGTCTTCTCACTTTGTATGGTAATGTTTGCTCTCTTAGCCTTATTGCAACAGCGTATTATTTGCATAAATTCAAAACAATCATAAAACACAATTAAATGTGGACGTGGGGTCGCAGTGGTGATCTCGCTCCGCAATGAACCTGGCGACTTCAGTTCCATTCAGCCACGGACATCTAGAAAGGCCACTCCTCTACCTGCCCATGCTGGCCAGTGTGACAAATGGGCAGTCTCCGTGACACATTCATCCAGCAGTAGATTAACAAAGGGCTGAAAATAATTCTCCGTTTAGAATAGATTTTAATCGAAAAATTACTCATGGTTATTCAGACCCACCGAACACACGACACCAGCATATTGCGCAGCACATCCACATATGGTTTTTTCTGTTGTACTTTATTGGGTTTTTGTATTATTATTTTTTTCTACAGACAGACGTCAAGTATTTTACAACAAAATTGTGACAAACTTTGTTCATTTTATTACAGAAATGTACAGAAGGGATATTATACACACAAAATCGAGCAACGGAACAGACAAACGAGAACATAAGACACGCTGGGGAGGGTGGCTGAGCGGAGGAAAGACGTCGTCAAGGGGGGGGTGGGGTGATTTTAGAGACGGATGGCTCAAATTGGGGGGCGGTGGAGGTGGAAAGAACCGATGAGTTATAAAAATGTGCACAACGTGGAGGTATGAAGCCGACTTGGTGGGGGGGCCCGTGCGTCAGGTCACATGGCGTACTTCTGCGTCCACTCTCTGGCTAGTTTGTTATATCTGCGAAGAGAAACAGGATATCCACGTCAGGGGGTAGAGTCACCGCTTGCTGGCAATCAACGCTCACGATAAACACAATGTAACCAAAGCCACGGTACACAGCATCTGTGGTGAACATACTAGCCTATACAAGTATTTATTGAATATTACATTACCAATAGGCATGTTATCGATTCAGTCAGAGCAATTAAATACATCTTCAAGATGCAGTCTTCCGAGCTGTCGACTTAACAGCCCTGTTTAAGTCCAGGCTCAAGACCTCCCTCATTTCCCTCCGCCTCTTACCGACTACCTCTTAAAAAGGACCACAGGAGTGACCAATAAACATCCTTCGATTAGAGTAAAATGTCACGGCTATGCATAATTCAACAACAAAAACGATCCTAATCATAAAAAGTATTTTGCTAAATAAGAACCACGTTAGTTATATATACACACACACGTATGTATACTGTTGTCCATTCTGGGACCATGGGGGAAAAGCAAAGACTTGAGGCTTCCATCCAGCAGTGGATTGACCATGGCTGATAGTCATTAGTATCTGGCGGTATGCCGGCATCATGTACTCACTTATCTCGGTCTGTTTTGTATATTCGTGCAATCTCTGGAACCAGAGGGTCATCTGGGTTGGGGTCACAGAGCAGCGAGCAGATAGACAACAGCACTGCACACACGGACACAACACATGAGAGCATGGTAAGCACAGCTTCAAACACAACTCTAAACACAGGAAACCACTATCTAGCCGTTACCCTCCACTAAACCGCGCGTATGCCCTATACAGAGTTTAAAAGGCCAAGCAGATTAAAGTGTACCGGGCAATTACAGCTAAATGAAACATTTATGGCAATCTCTAATGATCTGCCAAATAACTGGATGTTAACTGAGGTACAGATGTTTCCACTCGGTGAAACCACTCCAAAGCAGCTTTAAGGAAGTCAACAAAAGATCAATAAACCAACATCAACCCTTTGTGCTAAATAAAACACGAAGGGATGCGCACAGCTCCGCGTGAGAGATCCGACTGCGTTAATTCTTAATGACACAGCGCCTCTGAGAAGTGGGAATAAAATTGGCTAAAAATACGACGAAGACAATATTATTAAACACCACGCGGCTAGGAGCCATCGCCATGCAAAACGTTCTTCCCAGCGATACGGACCTTTTGAGATAGTGAGCGCCGGTGACCACTGAGACCTCAGGATGTCGAGGCAGATGCTCCCGTTACTGTTGATATTTGGATGGTATATGCGTGTCGTGAACGCTACCTGCAGAGGGAACACGATCGCGCTCGAGTTCACTCAATCGATGCAATCCGTCAAATCATGGGTCGCCATTTATTATTTAACATTGTGGTGCACTGTAAGGTTACTGCTTGCAGGGGTCATGTAAAAGTATTACATACAGCACATCATACAATATTGGACTACCACGCACAACACGAGATATCGGCTGCAGGGATGCACAATTGGGGTGGGGGGTGGTGTGGCAATGTGGTGCCCAAGACTGGTTTATATATCACTCGCCACTCGATGCAGCCTGGAACCAAACTCATTTCACTGGGTTCAGAGCAAAGTTCACCAACCACTATGTCACCGCTCCACTTGCAAGCAACGCATATATTTCCTCACATACACAATTACAAGCTTGCATCATGTGCATAACAAGCTACTGCGAACTCCGAATCTGAAAACCCCAACAAAATAGAAACACAATGCCACCCCCTCCATTGGTCAGGAACACCACAGCCTTGTGTATGTCTGATCAATTTACAGAGCACAAATTTACAAAATATGATTCTCAGCCCAATCCCCCGACACGATATTTGTGGTTCAGAACTTATTTTGGACTTAAAATCTAGGTTTGATTACTCAATAGAAAATTGGATGGGAAAGTGCTGCCCCCTACTGACAGAACAGAGGTTATACCGGGCGGTATTGCTTTCATGGACCGTACTCTATGAAGTGTTGCGTGCACGATTTGCAGTGCGTGGGTTTTAATATTTAACTATAGTGTAACATTGATTTATGGTTGCGCAATATTTTAGATTTCGCACGTGACTTTTGTATTTGTTCAGTTTCTATTTGCTTCATTGATTAACTTCATTTTATTTGTTTTACTTTTGTCATTTTAGTGAGCCGGCTCACGGTTGCAAATGAGACTCATCCTGGTAACTTGAGTTCTCACCTACTTAAAAAAAAACTTGTAGTTGACACGACACAAATATTACAATTGGGACAAATTTGGGAAGATATCTTAAAAATATATAAAACGGACATGAGAGAGTAGCCTTGCAAGTTGAGGCCATTTCCTCCCCATCACAACAACGCTGGCTGAGGGGCCAACGTTTACTGATGGGAGACTCACCTTTGGCGGTTTGAAGGGATAGTCTGTAGGGAAGTGGATAGTGAGGAAGAACACCCCTCCTTGGTACGGACTGTCGTTCTACGCAGCAGAAAGCCATATTATACACACATCCTGAATCCGGAAAACAGTTAAAAGCCATAATTACACACTGACCGTCAAAAGCCAGAGAAAAATCAGCATTCCTGTGAATTAATGCTCAAGAGAAATGAATTTAAAGCACGTCTGGGTTCACACAGGCTCACTCAAACGCACAAAATCACGTGGTTGGCGCCTTCACGTGCAATTGACGCCAACGTGCCGCAAAGGGCGCACGAGTAAACACGATGGATTGACACGTGAACTGGCAGTAAATCGGGACTGGAGTAGTGAAAACAAGGAATGGGGGGCAAGGGCTCTCGAAAATGTTCAAGCAGCCACCATTAAGCGTTCATTGGAGGTTTTTTGGATGTGTCAGACGTGTCAAAGGCCTGGTTCTCATTAATTTGTTTATAGTTTAGAACTGAAAAACCTTAAAGATAATCGTGAGCAATTGAAATAATTTGTAACCAATTTGAGCTCATCAATCAGATTTAAACTATTTGTAGTCCATTGTACTTGTACAATAGATTATATAAGCTTCATCAGGCGACACCCAATATGGCTGTTTCTGGATGAAGTTAGTAGTAATTACTGGCGAAACGTCGTACTCAGATTGTAAATGTTGCGGCTTGGCTCTCCAACACACCAACTAGTGACGAATTGGCATGTTCTGTTTACGCGACAACCCTTACTAGTTGGCTGTGTCGGATGGTGGCGGGTTTTAACGGACACATTTATATATTTAAGCGATCTAACCCAAAAAACGATATTATGGACATTGGTCACGAAAGCCGACA